AATGTCCTTCTTATATCTAGTTTAAATCTACACCCTTTTAGTTTAAAACCATTACCTCTTGTCCTATCACAAAAGGTCCCGCTAAAAAAATTTGTCCCCATCTTTCTTATAAGCCCTCTTTAAAGTACTGAAAGGTTGTAGTAAGGTCTCCCTGGAGCCTTCTCCAGGCTGAACAACCCCAACTGTCTCAGTCTTTTTTCCACAGGAGAGGTGTTCCATCCCTCTGGTAATTTTTGATGCCCTCTTTTGCACCTGCTCCAACAGGTCCATGTCTTTCCTGTGCAGAAGACTTCAGATATGGACACAGAACTCCCAGTGGGGTCTCACCAGAGCTGAGTAGAGGGGCAGAATCACCTCCCTCGACCTGCTGGCCACACTTTTTTTATGGAGCCCAGGATACAGTTGGCTTCCTGGGCTGCAAGCACACATTTCTGCCTCATGTCCAGCTTTTCTTCCACTAGTACCCCCAAGACTTTCTTTGCAGGGCAGCTCTCAATCCCTTCATCCTCCAGCCTGTATTGATACAGGGACTTGCTCTGACCCATGTGCAGGACCTTGTACTTGGCCTCGTTGAACCTCATGAGGTTCGCATGGGCCCAATTCTGGAGTTTGTCCAGGTCCCTCTGAAGAGCAACCTGTCCCTCAAGTGTGTCAACAGCACCAATCAGCATAGTGTCACCTGCAAACGTGCTGAGGGTGCACACAATCCCACCATAATGTCATTGATGAAGATATTAAACAGTACTGGTCCCAATACAATCATAGGCCCAGGTTCAAATTCCTTCTTGCCCTGGTTCCTTAGGACTGGTGCCTCACATCCCTTTAAACAGCAAATCTGGTTTGTGCATGGCTGTGGGCCAAGGGCTCTTGTATGCAATACATTAGCATGAGAGTTTGAAGAGTTTGTGTTGGTGAGAAACACAGTTATGGTTTGGTATTTTGGAATCATGACAGACTGTCTCTGCTACTTGGGCATGCAGATCCTGTTGAAAGTGGCAGCCGTGAGGTACATCTCTATGAGAAGAAAGGCGGAATGGGCTATGAGCTTCTCCCTACCCACACATACAGCTCTGCTCAAGCAAGTTTTGAAGGCACCACTTCAGAAGCGTTGCACATCCCCGGACTGGAGTGTTCTCCACTACAGCAGTGTGGCTCCTTACCATAACAGTTCTCATTAAACTAAATCTAGCTTAGGTATATATGTTATCTTAGGCACATAAGAATTTAAATATGAAAATAATGTGCGGTGGGTCAGACCACCAACTTCTTTCTTAGAAAATATCATGTTGAGGATTTTGCTATGACCTCACCCTGTTTTTTTACATGAAAGAAAAATATTGTCTGACTTCCTTCATAGCATATTTTACATCTTATTGACAAATCACTTATGACACTAATTTATTAGCATAAAAATATTACTATACTCAAGACAGCCTGCTTTGATTTACTAGATCAGGGTTTTTCATATGCCAAGGTCCTATCATCTCTGCTTGATCATTAAAAGTCCCTTGGCTTGCTTTTTTTTTTGCACAACAGAAGAGTTTTGTCCTGTTGCCTTGGCTAAAATCCTGAATATCAGAATGGCTTTTGCAGCTCGAAGGAAGATTCACTGAGTTGATGCTCAAGAAATACGGGATGGGTTTTTCAGAACCACCTTAGCTCCTTGCTGCAAAAGTCAATGGCAAAGTAGGGAAAAAAAAAAGGGTACATAAACACAGAAAAGTAAAATCTAATGGCAATTAGAGACAAGATGCTTAAACTGCAACATTGTTTTTATCCTCTTCATGTGAAAACTCTTTCTGCTACATGCAAAAGGAAGGACAGGAATGAAATACCTATATGCCTTTTGCATACAAGTAGTGTTTCAGGGGTTGGTATCTGCTTAGTTTTGTGAAAACAGCAAGACCCCATTATAGAAGCTGGACCCACTGACTGTACAAAGAGGCATCTGCTGAATTCCACAGAGGACAGACATGAAGAAAAGTAGGAATTAAAGTCTTTTTGCCAGTGTCATTTTATTACAAAGATGATGACTGTCTAATTTTGTAAATTGCCATTCCAGGTCTTTTCCTCTCTTCCACAGGTGTGCCCTCCCCCCAGCCAGGTTCCTTTCACTACAGCAGTCATGCACAACTGGAGACTGGCTACTGGTACTAGTCAGAGTAAGCAAGCCCTGCATCACTAATATTCCAGACTACAAGAGTCCATTCAGAAAACATATTAAAGATAGAAAACTGAGACTAAAATTAAAACTTATAATCTATCCCTCACATAAATTGATTTGGTGTTTTGAAAAAGAAATCAAAGTCTTATTGACCTAAAGCTTGTGGCTCAGATGAAATCCATGAAAAATCAATTGACTTATATTTAATTCAAGGATCTTTTTCTGGAAAAAGAAAAAAAAGTCTTAACTTGTAACTGAAGATAACCAATTATTTTATCTTGTCTTCACTTCTTCAGTATGAAGAAATTAAAATCAAACAAACCAAAATAATTATACTATTATTTAAAAATAATTGAATGGGATGTGAATAACAAATTCAGATGCATTTTTAAATCTTTCAGGCATTCTCAGAGATTTTTATATATTTGTTTCAGCAAATGCTCTTTTAGCCATAGCAATAAATTTGAACACCTGTTGACTGTGTACCTACCAGTCTCTCAGCCAGACCAGATTATGCAGTAATATATTTCCAAAGAGTATGGTCTTATTTTGTCTGAAAAGTAAACATGTCATCTGCTTACAAGGAAGCAAGTTCTCTTGTGAACACAGGAAATAAAGGCGTGGAGATGTTACATATTCAGCATAAAAAATAATACAAAGTTTTGAAACATGAATAAATATATCAGAATAGTATATACGTCTAAGTTCAATTTATGTAAACGAGCAAAAGCGGATCAGTGATCATTTAAGTTGCATTAAGGAACAGACCCTACACATGCACACACACACCTTAAGAGCTGTGAGGAGTACACTTGCTGCTTTTTGATCTTCACGCCGCCCACCAGCATGGCTGATAACGTACTGAAATGCCCTAATGTTTTCCCTTCCCTCTCCCTCTCCAACAGATATGAAAGCACAGTATCAACCAGCTGTGTCAAACTCTCATTCGGAAACAAAATCCTTAGTAGGAACTTTGTACACACATATATATATATATATATCTCGGAAAGTCAGCACATCTCATTGTCGCATACGCTGCGCATTAGAAAGCTTATTCTGTCCTAGGATTGCTGAGATGCTTGGCAAGACAGACGGCCAGTCTCTCTGTCTCCCTGATGGCGTCTGCATTGCTGCAGATTTGTCATGTAATTCATTGAGTTGAACTTAGCACATAAATTTTCAGTTATGACTAAAAAGTTAGAAAATTCTCCACAGATTAAAACTACATGTCTGTACTGGTAGTCAAGCAGAGAGCACTTAGGGGAACAAGAGTAGGAGCAAAGGATCATTCCCGGAGTGTGAGAGTGTCTTAAAGAAAGGAAGAATAAGCTAAAAGAAACACTGGCAAGAAATAAATCCTGTGTTAACTCCTGAAGATCCTACGCCCACATATTTTCCAATCAAAATATCATTCAATATTTAAATCACTCCCACCTTAGGTGTCAGGTTAATGAGATTTTTTTGAGAATTGAGATCTCAGTAAACCAAAAGCTTCTACCACAATCTGAACTCTGAATTTAAAACCATCATCTCCACAATAAACCACATCCTTAACTGTGGCAGACCAAAGCCCAGATCCACACAACAGAGGAGATCATGCAGACCCTTCCACAACACAGAAGCAATACAAATCTGTGTTTTCATATGAAATCTCAGACAGAAAGACCAAAAGGAACAAGGTCCTTTCATAATAAAGACTTGAACCTTTCACCAATACTATGTCATCATTAAAAGGCTGTAGGCAAATTTCATTATTTTACTCAGTTTTTCTCTTAGAAAAGCAGACTTTCAATCATTATTTTACCCAGGGTAGGCCGTGCTATAGGACTGAACTACAAAAACCTGAAGTTCTTACAAGTGAAAGATTTAACCTGGATGGAAGGAAAAAAACATTACTGTCTGAACAATATTTTTGAAGAGGTTTGTCAGAGTCCTTACATAGCAAATGTATGTATACCTACAAAAAAAAAAAAATTCATTTTAATTCACTCTTTCCTTCTAATTTTGTAACATGTACCGCTACTTTAAGGTGTACTGGTTTCATTATTAGCAATACCTAAAGTAGCAAGCTACCCAGAGATCTCTTCTGCTTTTACCATTTACGCAGCATACATCTTTGTTTTATCTTAAAAGTTATTTTCAACGTTAAGTAATTATATCACTAAAAGTCTTAGTGCACAGTTTTACTGCATAAATATGGCATCAAGTAATAGATGACAATTTGCTTTACAGAGCATTGTTAGTATCTGTACAAACACCTTCTTACTGATGTAACACAGCCTGCATTAGGAAGAAGCAAGGAGTGGTGGAGTGTTTGCCTTAACTACATCAGCAGACTAAAGCAATAAAACTTTAGCTGCCGACAAGCCTTCTTACTCTACTACTCCAGTGTGAACAAGACTGAATGCAGAAGACATGCAGAAAAGATAAATTCTGAAGTGGAAAGCAAAACCAAACTAATAATCAGAAACAAATAAAAATCCCAGCCCAATGGCAGCTGTGCCAATCCTACTTTGGACAATACTAGTTTTCTTCCAGTATTCCTGCCAAAGGAAATTCCTCTGTATTTTCTTAAGACATGTGAATTTGAATAAGAAGAAAGAGGCTAGATGGAAGGAGGGCTTTTCCGATAGGCTTACCTGAAGTGGTTCAAAAACAGGGTCTGAGGAGATTCACAGGCACAGATTCTTAGTGGAAAGACAGTAGTTTCAAAATAAAAAATCCTGCAAGTCATAACTGTTTTTTTTTTTTTTTTTTTTTTCAGAGCAGGGCAGATAGCAATAGTACTCTCTTCTAAGGGCCTTGGCTCCTTGAATAAACTCTGATTTTTACTTACCTATTAGGTCTCTCTCAATATAAGGATCCCAGTAGATCTGCAGCAAACTAGTACCAGCACAGTCCTGCTCCAGGATCTTGTTCTTGGTTCAGGTAGGCAACAGGTGGGATGATTCTCAAACTATATGCTAAGAAAGAAAATAAGTAATTTTAAACAAAAACAGATACATTCAGACAAACAAACAAAACAAAACAAAACAAAAACGACAAAAGAAAAACCAAGAATTACCTGCAAGTTATTTTCCTGTTTATTCTTGTATTTCTAACTGAAGCCAGGTGACATGGACACAGAAGACTGTAGTGAAAACGAGGGGAGTGGAAGGTAAACGGGAGAGATACAAACACTCACCTATCTATTTCAAGGGAACCAATGACCAGAATAGTTGCTACTTTGTAAACCTGGTCCAAGTTCCTGTTTTGTTTGATTTGGACTATGTACCTGAACTTCAGTCTACCACCGTTGCCCATGAAACATTACTAATCACGGGGATACAGGGAATCTTCTCCTTCCTCCCATTATACCTTCCCCTACAAATATATTATTATTAATATGTGGTCAGTGCCTAGAAAACAGAATTAAAGAAACCCATTCCACACAGTAGGTAATAGCCTGACAGGGTCATCTATTTGGATGAGGCAAGCCAAGGCTCAAATCTGTAGTTACCACCCAGAAGAGCTGTATCATCTGAAGGATTTATATCAGTGCAGCACATGTTTCACACCTGTTAATTTCACCATATTCTCCTCACCTTTTTTATGTTTTCAGTAGCCAACAGTGCTGAGAAGACTAGTAGCAGTAGTCAGAGTTTCTTAGGAAACAAAGATTTCAAGGCCAGATATAATCAGTCCAGCAAAGAGATGCCAGAGATCCATGTGGGTCTTCAGCAGTGGGAGCATCAGAAATTGTTACTCATAGGTGCTGCTGTGTCAGGGATTTGCATCAGTGGAGACCAAATTAACTAACTATGGATATATACTACCAGTGTCACTACTTAGTACAAGTCTCAGTGAGTGCTTGCATGGAGACAGCAAAGAGTAATAGAAAAAAAAAACTGAATACTCCTGAGTTTCCACAGTCCAGGACAGGAATGGAACATCAGAGGTGCAGTTGTGGTTAATTCTCCTTCTCCATATCCTCCCAGGAAAGGCTCAGACATTATAACACATTATTTTGGATCTCTGGACCTTGGCTGCCTTTTTTTTGTTTGTTTGTTTTTTTTTTTTTTTTGTGAGCACTAAGTACCTCATGTGCCCATCTGATCCCTTACAAGCAGTGATCTAGAGTGCTCACTGTAGTGTCTCTGTCAGCTTCTCAAATACATTGCTCAGAAATGGAAAGTTAGTCCAGGGGTAATAACCAAAGTATAGGACTAATTCATCAGAGGAAGGCTCCTCTGGTGTTTGATGGACTCATGAGTGTTTGCAGGAAGGGAAAGAATAATCATATCTAAATACACAAATCTTTTGGTACAAAACTCATGTTTTTGTCTACTACAGTCCTTCCTTGCATTCTGTTTTTGATTGTGCTCTCGATCAAATGTACTGAACCCAGGGAATTAGAAGCTGTGATACAAACTGGGCAGACTGCTGACGTCTAAGAAGGTTTTCTGAACATCCATGTTCCTTTCAGTGAAGTGAGATGACAGCAGTCAGCTCAGACCTGCAGCATGCTGTGGGCACTGAGCACTGATGACATGGTTTACCACCCATGGTTTACCATCCTTTCCATGAGAAAGGATGTGGCATCAGATAGGAAACTTTCCTCCAACTGTAATAAAGCTACAGCATTGCCTGAAATATAAATTCCTCCAAGGGTGTTTGTACCAGCCTTTGCTCTCAGCCATCAGTCTCCATTCTCACTCAGGGTCTGTGCTTGGGTACAGCAGCCTTTGATATGACCACAGCTAATCACAAAAGGTACAAAGGTGGGGTTTGCAGCCCTTCTGAATAAGAAAGTTAGAGTTAGCTTCATAAAAAGCCTTTGAAGGAGGAGAAAAAGGAGGATTCAAAAGCAGGATATAAAGACGTATTAAGTTCTCTTCACCCCTGCGGTGTGGAACACCATTATCATGACACAAAGGAAATATGTAGACTAACTTTTTCTCTTTTTAAAAATTTTATTAAAAAAAAAATGTTCAGCTCATCTCTTTGTGTATAGAGAATTGTTTTACCTCCTTTTTCCTCATTTAAATAAATCTCAGGAGGAGGGAGAACGCAAACAGGTGCTATTTCCCACATGCGTTGTTATACTAGTCTGTTCCTTCAGCGGGGTTTGGTTAGGTCACTCTGTTATACAGCACATTATTTTTAAACAGTGCAGTCTCCTTCCAAAATGTTCCTTCTTTAATGAAATCTGACACATCAGAAAGGAGAACAGGAAGTTTTCGTTGTTTGTACTTATAATCTTAAACCAACTATTGCTTATTGCGCGCGTCAGATAGCACAGCAGACAGAGCCAGCAAGCCTTCAGACACTGAACTCTGAACTTCGGCCAGACCTTGCCCCGGTCAGCTCTGTGACAGGAAAGCAGGCAGACTTTGAACCCCGGGCTCCGGGGCGGCTGCAGGGTTGCGAACAGAGAAACAGCTGCACTTTGCAACACGCACTTTGTACTTAGACACATGCACATTTAATCTCTATAACAGAGCTTTTGTTTCATTACTTATTAACATCTCCTCCTTGAGTAAAGTTCTTTGTTAATGAAGCTTTAAAGCATGGTGTGAGGGTTTTTTTCCAACTTCCTCTCCCAAAAAAATAAAACTCACCGCCCAACTTGATAGGATTACATTAACTATCAAAAAAAGAAAACAAACAAAAAAAAAGTTACGCCTTATGCACCTTCTGTATACTATGGATATTTGTTGTTCACTCCCTTCTGAGCAACTCAGCTGTAATAATCAGAGCTAATTATAGAAATCAGGCAATATTCTGTCTTTGCAGAGATCACTTCTTGAGATGATATCCACAGTAATTCAGTCTGCAGCAACATTTAACCTTATCTAACAAATCAGATAAAAAAAAAAAAATAGTAAGAAAGAATGAGACCACACTAAAAAAAACATACTTTAAGAAAGTGTCATGGGATGTTTTGAAGTTGTACAGCTTTTTGCTACTGCTTTTACTTTGGAGCAGAGTCAGTGCTTGGCTTCAGAGTATTTCACCATAACGTATGCTAACATGCACAGCACAGCAAATTCATAGAGAAGATATTCAAGGTCTAGATCAATTTGTGTCATCCATTAATTAGCCCTCACTAATATATAGCTTTGATCAGGAACAGAAACAGATCTAAACAAGGACCAAATGAAAACCTCGACAGGTGCCATATAAGATGCTTAAATCATTTCTGTACCATAAGTAAAATCTGAGAAGGGGCGCATACACATTTACTGTAACAAAACCTAGTAACAGAAAGGTAGTGGAAGATCCCAGTCATGCCCCATTGTGTCTGTGTTGTCATAACAATATGGAATGGCAAAAGTGATTAAGAAAGTAAAGGTTTCCTGAACAATCCTTCATATGCAACTAGAATAAAACAAGTATTTGGAAGTATATTTTCTTTGTCTTCAGATACTGCAAGTATTTGCCACAGCCTGTTTGAAAGAAATAATCCACAGACAGAGGGATCACAGTTACACTCTTCCTATTTTCCATCACTATCATCTTTTCAACATGAATTTCTCTCCAAGCCTCCATGGTCAACCTTTTTCTCTTCCTTTCATTTTTTTTCTTCCATATGATGGTGGGAAACACCCCTACCCCCAAACCACCCAGCTTTCCTTTCTTTTCATTAACAGAATGATACAAAAAAGGAAATTTTCAACTACTGTAGAAAGACATGAGGAAAAATAATGTCAAGAGGTTTCAAACCTCTTCCTTAGGTGAAACTAGGTTGGCAGGACTCAGAAGCAACTCAGAAGCTCCTGAGATTCCTTGCGAGAAGTCCGTGACTTCTTATTTGGATCTATGTTTATCCATCACCTTCAGTACACTGCTTTGCGAGCATCGTCATTCATCTAGTCCTAGAGTTTGATTTGCATTCTTTGCAGTGAGCAGACTGACAGAAAATTACAAAATTACTTTTCTTGTGTTAGTACTATTTTGGGTAACAGTACTGTTACCCTCCTACAACTGCAGAGCAGCTGGCACAACTACAAGAATGTTACACATATTTTCCTTTCTATATCCATAAAGACATGATTTCTCCTCCTTGAGGTGCCTCCCCATTATCACCTCACCCCTGGAACATGGCCCTCACGTCACATGGGTCTACCACGATGATCATAGGATTTAGCTGTTTCTAAGAATAGACATGATCATTTGAAATAGATCCTGCTTTATTTCTGGGTACAGTTTCTGAATGGTGTTATGACAATAAAATCTTTAGGTTGGATTCTGTATAACACCTACCTGCTCCTCCCATCAGTTAATCAAGGATGTCAGACCTGTCTCCATGAGAGCAGGCATGAAGACCTGTACCATTTGCTTAGCTAGGGACAGCAGCAGATGTAAACTTGAATGAAGCCAAGCAAACCCTACATCTCTGTGAACAAAGCAGGTAAGCTTCTGGGAAACTATGACACCTTTAATTAAAATAAATAAATAAAAGTGAATAAATGTGGAAAGAGTGCAGAGAAGAGCAACAAGAATGATTTATGTCTGGGAAAAAAAAGGCTCCTTCCAATGAGACACTGAACTAAATGTGTTTTGCTTCAAAGAGAAGATTACAATCTTTAAAGGACTAGACAAGAAGAAGATATTTCAGAAGACTCTAAATTAGTGGGCAGACACACAACAAAATCCAATATTTGCAAGTTCAATATGGAGATAAAAAGCACTTTTAAGTATAATTGGCTACTAAGATGAATTGTCAAAAGATACAATAAATTCTCCATCACTAAAACTATTTTAATTATTGTATGCTTAGTTTACACTAGACCTAGACGTCTCAGTCAACACAGGTCCAATAATCTTTAAATTTATCTAGCTTCTAGCACAGGCCACCCCCTCTGTCTGAAAATTGTTCCTGTTGCTAATTCCAAATTAGATTATTTTTTTCCTGAGTAATCCAAGGTCAGAGAATCATGACAAGTGGATAATTACTGCATGCAATGCCAGGTCATATAGACTTTGTTTATATAATACTAGCATTCCTCAGTCTAGAGCATCCAGAGGGGAAAAAAAATCTGTAATGTCTAATTCAGGTTAGAAAACAAAATCAACAAAACAACCCCAACCAGACAAAAAGGAGTATTGCTTTATATAAAAATTTAAAAGTATACAATGTTGTGTACAGTATTGTAATGTGCTTTTATCAAACCCATCATCTACCACAGAGAGGAAAGGTTTCACACTAGCACTATCAAGCACTCTACCAATTGAGTTCCAGAAACTTCAGTATTGTTCTATAGCCTAACAGGAAAATACAGCTAGCAGAAAATTATTTCTCTTTTTGGTCCTCTAGGAGTTTACATGAATAGGTCCTGTTAACACTAATCAGAGTTAAGGGCAGAAATCCCCCATGGAAAGCCATGTTGTCTGGGGATATGTCCATAATTAATATGTTCTAAGAGTCTAATTCTGAAACAAAGTAATCAGGCTTAAGATGAGTTATAGTAAGACCAATAACCTCTGACTGCATATTTGACTATATATATGTATACTGTATCCAATGTCAGACCAACGTACAGTTTACAAGAGAACTTCTGATAAAAGGAGTTATACCTTTGCTGTATTTGGAAGCATGAAATACAAATATACAACAAGAAAAAAACACAGTGGGGTTTGTTTCGTTTTGCTTCTTACCCTTCTTTGTAGCACATCATTATTATAAATGTTAATGCTCATCATTGTTCTTTTTCACATTGTAGTGCCCAGGCTCAGCAAAGCTAACATAATCCTAACACTTCTGATGTTACAAACTAAAATTACCATGCAGCACCATGGGAATATTTGTAATATGAAAGATGTGGAACGGGCACTTGGTGACAAATACATGGAGGAGAGAAGAGGAAGCTGGATGGCTTGAACATGAATGATTTTGCAAGTAAGACATGTTGTAATGGGACAAGGAATACAAAATAAAATTATGCCAATGTAATTTGGTTTCAGTTTTATTTAGGATTTATGTCACTTAAAGAGACATTTTCAAGTCTGTGGCTGCTGATGCTCCAACACAATTGGTGCCCAAGTCATACATAATGTAGTATACAACACAGTATATTAACTCAGCTTCAAAGTGTTAATATGTCATGAAACTTAATTCAGATATCAGAAATTATGCAAAGGAGATAGAGATGTGGAAATACACTCTTGTTTCTCAAAGGTGTCAGCCAGGCTTTGCTTTGTGTCCCCCAGTCCAGGAGGACATAGCAGCAGCTCACTCTAAACCTCTTTCACAAGGTGAAGAGCTGGGTGGCTCTTCACCCCAGTATTTTTGGCAAAGAGATCCTGTACTGAGGGCAAAACGATGCATTCCAAAAAAAAAAAAAAAAAAAAAAAAAAAAAAAAAAAAAAAAAAAAAGCAGAAGCTGTCAAATACAAGACAGCAGCCCAGGTTTTGCAGTGTCACAGCTGCAGATACATTTTAAACTGCAGATGTGAAAACTGTATAATGTAAACACAGAAGAATTTATCATTTTCTTTATCCTCAATAAACCAAAGTCCTAGCTTTAGTGCTGTATAGATAAAGAATCCAGCTGTACTCTCTGAATGTCCCTTAATAGATGCCAGCAATGGTGACAAACTGTTTTCTTGATCGGCAGCTGGGAATAAAGATAGCAAACCTCCAGCACTATTAGCTCAGTTGGGAATGGAATTGCACAGAGACTCACCTAGTGCTTCTGTCAGCTGAGAATGGAGCCCATGACAATCCACAGTACTTAAAATGGAGGTAAAGACCTTCTCACATTTCCACACATGCTGGTTTTGTGAGTCTCTCACTAATTGCTCTCTCCCTGAAAACTTCCAGACTTCATACAAGCTGCTACTAAAGGAGACTATAAACAACCTCTACCAAAATTGCACTGGAAACAGCAGAGGGGAAGCATCCACAGGAAACTTTTGCTTGCGACATGAAGTTTTCCAAATCCCCTTTGGAGACACTTCAGCTGATGGAAGAGGAGTGTGGTCCGCTGTCTAAGCCTAAAAGTGACGTTTACCTCCTGACACCACCATATCGTTCTTGCATGACCTTGGGCCCTGATTCTTTTAAAAAGAGGTTTGAAGAGATAAATCTAATTGTCTCTGTGTGTCACTTCATCTATAGAAAAGGAAACATAGAAGACAATCTAGGCTATGTTTTTCTTTTTATTGTTTATACTAAGCTGAGAGGGAAAAGGGATGCTTCTATTATTCAGACGTAATAAACACACTCACAAGAACAGACTCAGTTTAGACTAGCTGGGCAATCCAGTATTTGGAGACAAAGAAAAATAAACTAGGACAACAGATGAAGTTCAGGATTCCCTGCAAGAAAAACTAGGTAACAGGATTGATCACAGCCCTGTACACTAGCTGAGGCAGGACATGTCCCTCCTCAGTGGCCAGTTTGTAGAAGGTGAGAAGAAATGAAACAAAGCCAAAAGATGCTGTCTGCAGGAGACAGCTTTCAAGGGTAAGCCTGTGCAGGAGAGAGTCCCCACACGAGTAGAGAAATCTTGCTTTTATTTAAGAATAGCGAGAAGTAACAAGGGGTTGTATTCTGTATCCTTTCACAATTGACTGAAAATGTCCCTTCTCTAAGATCAGCATCCGATACTACCAATCCCTCAAAAAGCATTTCCTTGAACATATGCTCAGGAAAACACCATTCACAGTGGCTGACAATCTGGGAGCCTGCTAAGCCATCCTGTTACAAATACACACCATTAACGTAGAGTTAAACATTTTCTAAAATTATGAAACAGTAAAATACATCACCATATCATACTTCACCATCACCTTCTCCCTCAAGAGAACACCCAGCTCCCGCCTGCACTCACCAGCTTACTTCTGTTCCGTTCCTTGGTGGCAAGAGCTCCAGGTTCTCCTTGTCTCCCCTTGGCCAAGTTAGAGCGTCCTGATCTCTCTTAGGTGCTCCTCATGAGGGTTCGCTTCCTACTTTCTCCTCTAATGGCAATCTCATTCCAGAACTTCTGCCAAATATGGCTGGGAAGGCTTAGTTTTCCCGTCCCCTGTTTTCTGCAATTAAACTTAGGATATAATAGAAGACTTAGGATATATATAATTAAGGCTTAGGTTGTAATAAAAGGGACGCTCTTTTGTTTAAATTCTCTGCCCTACTGTGGCTGCTTTAAATTTGTATTTCTATCATTCTCTAATTAGTATCTCTCTTCTGTCTTTAGGCTGGCTTTTCCTGTTTATAAGGCTGTGGTAAAACATCATCAATCATTTAACCTAGAAAAAAGTGATCATACCAACAGCTTACAAAAGCTATAATTATCAGTTTGCTCTCAATATTACAGAGAGAATAAAAATTACAATTCTAACAAAAAATGGATATGAGAAAGGGGTTACCTGAATGATTTAAACTCTTCCTACACAGACAGCACAACTTCTGGGGACTTCCTCATAATAAATAAAAATATCTCTGTGAAGCTAATTAGTTCAGGTGTGGCAGCAGGCTGATGAGTCTAGAGGTGGTTCAGCTAGAGACAGTTCAGGTATTCACCCACTACCAAACAATATGAACATATTTTCCCCATCTCTCATGCTCTTAACCCTGTTTCCACAAGCATCCTCACATGCAGGAAAAGGAAAAGCAGAGGAGCCAAGACAGCAGGCTCACCAGGACCAAGAGCAAAGTACAGAAAAGGCAGAAGAGTATGGTAATGAAGAATACATAGGAGTAATTTCCCTCCAATTCCTCTAGCCCATCCGTTTTCTCACATCCCTCTCCTTGTTCCTCTGTGACAGTTCTTCAGGTTGTAGTGTCTCCATTCTGGTTTACCCTATGAAATGCTTGGATTATAGCTGCCTGTAACACACTGCTGCATGCTTGCACACTAAACACAAACCTAGGGAGAACCTAAGTCTGTTTCCCCAGCATCAGAAACAGTGAGAGGAAGCAAAGTCCCAACACAAGTCCAACTTTACAACAGGGCACCACAAAACACTAATTCCTTCCTCACCCTTTGGTTCAGTCCAATAACACTATTGTACTTGGTACACTCCTCAAAGAAGTAAAATAATTACTGTCAAACACACACTAACTCTCTTTTACCATCTTAAAAACACACATTTATCAAATAATGTTCTTTTCTGCAACAAAGACTGTAAAGCTCACTACATGCTAAAATGGACTTTTGATTCAAAATAACCCAAACGTAGAACATATATTTTCAACTTTATGATAAGCCAGTCAACTATGTATTAAGCACAACTCAACAAAACCAGTCACAGCACAGCTCTGACAGGCATTCAAAATAGATTACACAACAAATCAAATAATCACCATCGACTTCTGCATCATGATATGACTCTCAGTTCTTTAAGGCTGGTCCATGCAGTAATGAATCTATTATGTATATTTGATCCTGCACACCAGCCTCTGCCAGCAAATCCACTTCAAGGATATTTCTAGCATTCCAAATCTTGAGGAGCTTTAGTCTGTATCAATTAATTAAAAAAGAAAAAAAAATCAGAAAGAAATTTAAAAGATATCTGTGTGCCTTAGGGCAATATTCAGCCTGATCCCACTGATAGCTTTCCTTATGGCTTTGAAATCCGTTACCTTCTGCAAGAATAGAAGTTTATGGAAGCCTTCAAAAAGAAGCTTCTACCTTCAACAGTGGAACTGCAGTTGCTTCAGCAGCAGATGAAGGTCTCTGTGAAGTACAGAACTGCTATTACCCAGTGAATATAACAAATATGCCAGCAAGCATGTATGAAAAAGAGTATATGTAAAGACAAAAATCTCCGGTAACAGCTAGTCAAAACTCATCCCAGAAACTCTTTTTGAGCAACAGTTCCTGGGATAGGGGAGGGGAGAATTAAAACAAGCCTGGCTGAACATCTTGCAGTTGCTGAAGTCTGAATACATTTATACCAAACACAGTAATTTACTCACAGGGGCTGTGTTCTTCACTTTGTTTGTATAATGGTTGCATGCAGGAGGAATGGAAAATTTCTGCTAAGAATTCATTCTCCTGGGTCAACTGGACCTAAAAGGATTTAAGAGAAATTGGATGCCTGCTCTAAGGACAGACATGAGTGCAAAAGCACTATCAAAAAATAGACTTAGGAGAGCTTCAACCCCATTTCCAGATGCTAGACCAGAACATTTGACACAGACTCCTTTGTAAATCTTCTGCTAGAAAAAGAATCACCCCTTTAGCTAGGTACAGAATTTAAATACCACACAGCCAACAAAAGAGATGCCAAAAATTTCCCATGACTTTTCATTTTCAGAGGAGACGATTTAGATCAGGTCAAACCTAAGCATGTCTTCCATTCATTCAATATTAACACACTTACCTGTCAGACTTTCTTTCTGTCAGAGTTACAGTACTCGCTGTGCAGTAAGGGTGGGTAAATTGCTATGGCAGCCTTCTCCCTCTGCCCATCATCCTTTCCAAAACAAAGAAAATGGTTTTAAGGTCAGTTCTGAAAGTTGGTTGATAATTACATAGACTATTTATTGGTCTTTCATCTCAATAATTAGCATTTCAAAAGTATTTTATAAATCAGCCTTGTTACAGGTAGGAACCATTGTAAGCTTTGGATTTTTGTTAACGCTTTTAGAGGGTTTTTTTTTTTCTTTTTTCTTTTTTTTTTTTATTAAATCACTGTTGAAGTCTCCAGAGCTGCTGTTATAGAGCTTGTAATAGCTTGACACCTCCACCCCTCTTTCAATTCCAATTCACTATCTAGGTGAATCACTATCTACAATGATCAGTATACTCTCCAGATATCACTATCTAGAATAACCAGGCTCCTAATGCTTAGCAGATACAGTAATAACTTACCTAATTTTTAACTTTCATTATAGGGTCCCTCTGGGACAAAACAGAAGGAAGACTGATGTATTATTAATATTATAAATAATTAAAATGAATGAAATACACCAAAAATGTAAAGTGTGAACCAAAGGAAGAACTAGCACACAAGTCTTAAGGCAAACTACTGTCCCTGTGTCTTGACAATACCAGCCATTTATGTTCTGTACTCTTTTACGTCCCTGCAAAGCATGCATAAAATCTTACTAGATCAAAATGATATAATTCCCCACACATACAAGTATCTACAGAAGGTGCAAGGCAGGGGAGAGAGTGGTCAGTCAGTCGTGTTTTAATTTATAGCTATTTTTGCCTAAGCCCTGAATGGCCTGCCAATAATGAATAGTACCAGCTGGGCTGTCAGGAGAGCAGGCTAAGGACACACAGAAGAATAAAATAATAATAATAATGTAAAAATGAAGATCAGGAGAAAAGTCTGGAGTGGGGGAGACCTGATGGGGATCCCAGCTCTGGTGTTAAAATGCCTCACTACAGTCGTATCTTCCCCAACCCCCCAAATAAATAGAGGGTGATGATGATTGCCATTATCTGGATGTAGGCTTATAACATGGCTAGGACTACATCTTAGACTTCTTGGGGTGTAATCCAGATACCTAATAAGTATAAAAATTAGGACTTTTCTGTGCTTAAATAAGCACCAAAAATAAGAATTTCATATGATGATGAGGACAGGACTTGAAGGGGCTTTTTAAATTTTTTTTTCCAAATAAATAATAACAACTCACTAGTTTCTTTTTTCATTTAACATAATCATTTTACATGAGTTTTATATGAAATGTCAAAAAAAAAAAAAATCAGTAACATGGCAGCCCTACTGTTTTTTAAGAAGCTCTTTCCCCAACCCATGTCACAGGGAGAATATAGAAAATAATTCTTCTAAACAAAACCCAATGAAGGCCCATTAACAGAGTCATGTCTTAAGCAGCTATTGAGAGAAGAAAGAATAAACAATGGCACTAAAAGGCAAAGATTTTGTTCCATTGCTGTTAGAACATCAATGCTGGATCCACACTGGTATATATATAGAGATGCTGCAACTGGAAAAGCAGTAGTTTTGGAAACCAATCTGCTTTTCATGACTATCCTTAACTGTGAAAAAATTAAGAGATTTACCCCATGCTTTATTGTAATCTGTTTATTTGTGGATGCAGAACAGTTTTTAAAAAAGTATATTTATATTCAAGCATTTCACTGTATATCACCATCATACTGATAAATTCTACAATAGCCTCCCCTCCTCTCATTTTCATAGCCTTGTAGGAGAAGCAAGGCAGACAAGCCAGTTTGAAAAGCCAGCAAGCCATAATTCCTCTGCTACAGACAAGCGACAATTAATCACATTCACCAGCTAGACAGGTAACTCTTGTCCTTTAACACTGGAGAAAACATAAAGCTTCTCTCTCTGAGCACTGATTGTCCAGGTGATATTGGAGCTCTCAGAAGCAGTAACTGAGCCACTGAGATACTTAAAAATGAGATAAACCAAAACCTAAATATGACAGTCTTCTGCTATTGTATTATTTTTCAAAGGAACACTGAAAGCACAACCAGGTGCTGGTGCGGATTATCACCATTTTCCCCTGCAAGATCGTAAATTGCTCCTCCTGTGCCAGGGGTTCAAGGTCACTGGGGCTCATTCAAGCTCTGACCACTGCACCCCTGCTCAAAGGAGAGCCAGCCTCACTCATGGCTGTGGGAGTGCAGCGCCAGTGGCCAGGAGACATCCCCCTCCCTTGAAACAAGAAGGAAGAGAACAAGCCATGACACCATGAAATAATTCTACTGTGAGACTAAGAAGAAAAAGATTATTGCTTTTTTTGGTTTTGTTCTCAAGCAACTAACCTTTCTGTTTTAGCTTTCTCCATATATGCGTAACTCATTGATTCATTCTGACAATTACATAATGCTTTTGAAGTGCAAAGAGAGACCACAAGGCACATCCAAAAACTGGGACAGCCATAGCTCATCTGTTTCTTATGGTTCTCTAGCATAGGTTTTATCTCCAAGTGAGTGTAACAGAGTTATTTTTGTAACCATTCCAAAAACCCTTTGACTAAGATGTGATGCTGTACTGACCCCTTGGAGGGGGAAGGGGTTACAGATATAATTTCATGAGACTACACGGAAATGTTAAGATTATCTGTGGATCTCTCCTTCAGTCACTTAGCAGAACTCAAGCATGGGTCTTATTTTAGCTGCTGAAGATAATTTAACCAAGAACTGCTAAATAAAAAAACCCTCCATGTTGCAACTTGATCCACACATTGAGCCCCTCATTGGCTTTGCTAACTCAACAGAAATCCCACTGAAAGAAGAAAACTGCAGTAAGGATGCATGAAATGAGAAGTCCTGCTTATTATAGAAGTACACTCATCTCACTTTCACACAGGCTCCAGCCTCCTGCCGACCCAAAAGATGACAAAATGAACATTTCAAGCATGTAGAATGAAAGCGTAGGCAGAAATGGGTGATGATCAGAGCATGTCAATAATGTCACACAGCTGGATCACTGCCCAGTCTGTTGTGAACAGCTGTTCTCCAAATGACTAATCAAACAGGAGGAGGTAGAACATATAATTCTCCATTTTCAGAGATGAGGATACTGCTTCTCCTGATACCACCTCTTGTAATTGGTTTCTCCTTTTCCTTCCAGTTTCATACTGGAATAGTCTAGCCGCAATGTGCACAACGTGTCTCATACACGTAAGTGTGAACTTTAAGCATGCCAGTGTTTTGCCTTCAACAAATCGTTTGACAGCAATGCTCTACTCCAGATCTGGGAGGATTCAGTGATCAGTGAATTAACTTATGAAATTCTTTGAAAACAAAAGCAATTTATAAGAGTAAAGTATTCTTGTTACTACTGTTCAGTTACAGACAGAATATAAAGTTGTTGTTGGGTTCTAAAGAATCCAACTCAAAGTTCAGTGCTTAGTCTATTGAAATAATCACTTCAGTAAAGGACTTACAAAAGCCTAGAGCCAAAGAAGCCCCAAGGTGGTGGAAACCAAGCCACGAGATACATCAGTTTGAATGTACCTTACCTGTGCAGCCACAAATACTGTGAGGAAATAAAAACTATAAAATTTCAGAAGAAAATGCAGGAAATTCTTTTTGTTTTATTAAAAATCCTGAGTCAGTCCATCTAAACGCCGTTACTATTTCCCAGATGCTTAAAGATAATATCAGGTAGGATAACATCCATAAAGGAAAAAAGAATATAGCTTTCATCATCTCAAAAGTGTTTGAAAATCCAGACCATGCCAGGACAAAATGGCTGATATTTGCCTCTAACCATTCCAGTCATTCTATTTTTGAGGATCACAGTGATAAACAATTCCCTGAAGTATACTGTAATTCTGCAGCACTGATGAGCCCAATATCAATGCCTGTGTTAATGTCAAGTTCAAAGACTATTGAGTATTTGCTTGATAAGCTTCTCAGAGAGGTCATTAACTAGGACAGTTTGTTATACTCTTCATGAAAATTTTCTGGGTTTGTTGTTTTGTTTTTGTTTGGGTTTTTTTGTTTTTTTTTTTTATCAAGATCCCCATTGTAGGAAACCTTCCTTGGCTGCCTAGGTACATCTAAAGGGAAAGGTACACATATAGGTAAGCCGATATGCATATACTTTAGCCTGTATGTCTAAAGCATGTTTGAGGTTAAGGACTCTTAATGCACATGAGATCGGGAAGTGTTTTTAACTAGCTGAAAGATAAAGCTCTTACAGGACTGAAGAGAAGACAGAAATGCAGTGGAAAACATTTGCAAGTCTTAGGTCTAGTGAGAAAGTTATTCCAGGTATTTTGTTGCTTCTGGTGATACTCATCTCTAGTACTCGAACATTAGGAGTAAAGAAAACCAATCAGTTGGGAACCATGGTGGTACTTCATCCTCCAGAGTTAACTGCTGCTGCTTAAACCTCTAAAAATAATGGTGGTATGGCATTATCGTACTGGCTTTGCACATGGTGGGGTAGTGGAGTTGACCCGCTTCAGCCCCCTAGATGCAGTGTTACACAGAGCATTCATCAGGACAGCTCTGATTGTCACAGTCAACTTGAGATAACTGTTCATCAGATGACTCCTTCCAGCAAGCCATCTACAGAGTCTAAAATAATACCAAAGGAGCCTCTTGCTGATACAGGAATACTGCTCTACCACACCAGCAATTTTTACTTAATGCAGGAACAGGACAGAAGCAACTTTTCTGTTGTGACCTCCACCTCTTCAGTTGCCACTGTCAGTGAATTATTACCAACAAACCGCTCCAGTAAAAAGTTTCAACTGCATCTATGTAAGGTGTCTGCTGATCAGACAACACTAATCTCTCTAACCCTGAGCGAGCAGGCTGCTCAAGTCCGTCATGTAGACATAGTTCCACAGGTCTGAATTAATAACAGCTTTGCAGTGAATCAGCTACTGTCTAGTGCAGGACCCAGAGGCTCCAGCAAATATCTTTAAGCATGTCTAAAACCCAGAGGTAACCAGAGTTGCCTGAGGCCATCACAAGCATTGGACACAGACTATTCATCCTGAAAAGACTCAGAGA